TACTTATTTGGTCTTTTACAATCCCTACTTGGGACTTTGACATCCTGCTCCTTTTATCCTTATCTCTCAAACTATTTTTTCTTCTTCTTGCTTGTGCTCTTCATTGTTCAAATATTTATATCTTGAATGCCCCTTACACTTTTATCATAGGGACTGGCTTATGTTATTTCTGGACTGTGCCTTTCTTCTGAAGATTGAGCTAACCGGAGGTGATCAGATGTTTTCTCTCACCTCTATTTCCTCATTATATGATCATTCTAATCCTAATCATCATTTGTGTCCTGTACAGGCTATCTGTTGCTATATTGCTTGGACTGCCCTTTTTCATGGAAACCACCATCACCTATTTTTGCTATGGCAGACCTCTTCCTCTTAGGACTTGTCCTCTTCCTCTTTAACTGGTTGGGTTTGCCAGCTCATTCATCTTGCATATTCTTTTTTGGATGAGTCTTACTGTACACCCTTTTGTGTCTCCTCCCAACAGAGTTGGCATATCACAGCCACTTTTACATCATTGGCCTTTGGGGACCTAACAGACTGGTATGTGGAGTACACCTAATGCATTCATCTCACATTACTTGTGTCATTGAACCATTTCATGTGCCTCTGATTTTTGGCTTCCTCCAGTCTACCCAGAGACTGTTTTGCCTGTTGTTTTTTTCAGTCATCTCCTTGTCATTCATGTATTTCATGACATCTCCATGCATTTACCATAATTTTTATATACAACTAACTGCAAGTTCTTTAACTAAAACAAGGAACAAATAAAAAATAAAAACACAAACCATACAGGAGTAGGCAACACTCACCAGATTGAATGTTATATGAGGAACTACAACCTGTGTTCCTTTTGCCTAGTGCCATCAGAACCCACCAAGTGACCAGCATTGTCTCACAGAAAATACCCAAAATCTGCAGCGACTGGGGAGAGTAGAAAGTGTTAATCTAATCTTCCCCTGCTCTGTGCCCAGCAGTACATCTATATCATTGACATGGCTGTGGCTCGGCAATGACCAGGTGGTTAGGGTGCTCGACTCACAATCTGAGGGTCACGGGTTCGAATCCCTGTCACACCAAACATGCTCGCCCTTTCAGCCATGGGGGAGTTATAGTGTGATGGTCAATCCCACTATTCATTGATAAAAGAGTAGGCAGTGGGTGGTGATGACTAACAGCCTTCCCTCTAGTCTTATACTGCTAAATTAGGGACAGCTAACACAGATAGCTTTGCTCGAAATTCAAAAAAAAAAAAAAGATATGGATGTTTGTACACCTTAAAAAAAAGGACAGTACCAGGTATGGTCCTGCTGTTACACTTGACTCTTGCATGCTGTCTTTAGTTGTAGTAACTCATTGCACTGTCTGGTTGGGGATCTAACTCCAAATGATTGTCTTTGATGAAAGTGGTCCATACTAACCATCTGGTGTTGTCCCCAATGCATATTTCTCCCTCCCCTATTTTTAGTGGAGCATGGGAGAACCCTTACTTTTTTAATTTCAAGCCTCTGGGATGTTGATATGGAGAGTTTCCTCTGAGTGGTGCCTCCCCCCTCCCCGAGTAAGAAACTGGTTGAGCCCACCCTTGTGTGACATTTAGGGATAGAAAGTGTAGTACAACAAACCCCATTACAATATCTCCCAAGTAGTTCATGGTGGATATATTCAGCTTGATAGGACTTGTATTTGCTTTGGGATGCACGTGAGAACTCCTTCTCTTTCCACTTGTCATTATGTGAGTATTTCACCTAGACGGAATAGCCTAGAGCCCTACCCACTCATTACACTCTAACATTCAACCCACATTTGTGACACATTACCACTTGTTATGGTGTGAATGTCTTTTACAAGCTGACAAAGCAGGATTATAATTAATTATTCTTGTCATAAGTATACTATTGGCACTGGATTTACCCTATATCCTTTATTGTAAATCTCTGTAATGTTCATGAAATATCTCACTGAATAAGTAACAAATTGAGCAAAGAATATTCCCTGTTTGAGAAGGGTGCAGTCTCCTACCAGGTGCTGTTCCATTATGTGATTCCTGGTCTCATGGAAGTTATGCACCATTAGCTTTCCCTTTCTTTCACTTTTTCAGAAAAGATCTCATCTTTGTAATTGGTCTGCACCAGCCCCTCCATCATATTCAATGTGGGATTCTAACTCTTAGTGGTGTAGAGGTAGGTAACGTTTCTTAAGTTAAAATTTTTTTTAGCTGATGTATTAAAAGTGCGAATCTTTTTTCTATGGCTCATCAAATACAATTGTCCGTATGCTATTTGGGTTTATACATGTATGAACCTTTGGTTACAAGGTTAGGCTGTAGATAGTTTGTAATTGCTTTAGTGTTGAACAAGGCTTCTAAATCTATTTATATAACCCTATACTTCTCTAAGTTAGGATGGTAATTTTGACCAAATACCAAATTCTACAGATAGAGAATTTGTCTTGCAAAATAAACCTAACTTTCTTGGAACTAAGTTTCAAAGTGTGTAAATTTTCTCTTCCTTTCAGTATTATGCAGATGGTGATCTTATTTGCTCAATCAAGAATCGTAAGGATAAATTTTGTCCATGTGATAAAGTTTTCACGGCTGTTTGGATATTTTATATTACTAGTTAGTCAAGAGTTCATAATGGTACTATCATAATTCAGTTCCAGAAAGAAAGAAAAAAAAGTTGTTTAATGGTAGGTTTAATTAAAGGTCAAACATCTATCTAGTTTATAATTTTTCTTCTAAAGGCTTTATGATTACATTTTTTTTCTTTTCCAGATTTCATGACAGTAGTGAAATGCCCATCATATAAGGCTTATTGTACTTGTTTACAAATTTATTTAATCAATTTAAAAGTTCAACATGACAGTGTAGTCTGTGACCAATAAACACTATAGTAGTCTTAATGCTGATAACTACAAATTCTTGATTCTCCTATTCCTTTATTGTTTCACTTGTTTTTATCTTTTTTTAAAAAAAAATTTTATTTCTTTTATTGACGGGTCTCTTTAGGAGCACACTTTAATGCCACTCATTACCTGGCATTGTAATTATTATTATATTAAAAGAATACTGTCCACAATGAATATAAAAATATAAAACAATAAATGTTCAGTTGTCAGATTTCACTTCTTTAACTTTCCAGCAGTAGTTCAGTATATGCTAACCTTTGGTGAGCCTTTACCTTTCTTTTACCACAACAATAATAATTTTGTAATTGTTTTTTATGTTTAAAATGCATTTTTTTAGTAAATTTTAATAACTTGTTAAAAAAGGAAATGTTTGGAATGATTTTCTATACATATAGTCATCTGTTTAGTGATAGATCCTGGTAGATCAGGAGTTTCAATTAAGAAAACATTTATTATGTTTATGAAAAGGATCAAAAATGCTTATTGAAAATGCTTACAAGAGGGTCAGCATATTTTATTGATAAATTTTGAGCATTAATACTAACTTGTACCGTCATGTCATGGGGTAAAAAAATTCCAACTTAAGGAGAGACATCCAGCTGATATTGAAGAATGATTGGATAACACTTCACTCTGTTTGCCTTTTTTTCTCCTTCATTTCCAGCTGAACAATAGATAATATCATTTTGGACCCACACAATTCGTTATAATTTTGTTATTGGTCAGAATTGGGATTCTTATTTACATGAAGTATGTTTCACTTTGTATAATGTACACTACTGAGGATATGGTCAGCTACGGTATTAATAAAAATGTTTTTTGGCCCCCTGTGGAAATGGAACAGCTGTACCATGCTTGTTGCTAGGTGACAATACAAAAATATCCACTTGATTGTATTGTTGCGTCAGCGAGTCTCATGACCACCATGACGCAACGTTTCTAGAACTATCATGT